AAAAAAATAGCTGAAATCTGTTTGAGAAAATATATCTAAGTTATAATGAAAATGTTCTTGATTTAGGACTGACTGGTTAATGATCTGGGAAGCTGAGAATACTGCCACTTCCATATTAAAAGCAAGTGAACAGAATAATAATCAAATCTAAACTGCCTTAAATTCAACTATTCTGCTAGATTTTGGGATAACCCCTATATTTGTTCAGAAATAATACTCTTAAGCTGTCACTGACATTCAAGTAAACATGAGGAATAGAAGACATTTTATCTGCTTTGATAGAGGACCACATATTTTGGAATTAGGATAGGACATTGTATTAGCATTTCTCATATTCTGCTTGAATAGAACCCAGCAAAGTGGTGGCACTCAGCTGCCTTTTGTTGACCTCAAAAAGCTAAGCATGGCTGGATTTAGTTAGCTATTAACTTGTAGTTTCCCATTTTAGGAAATCCCAAAATTAGATTGAGAAGATAAAAATGCATTCTAGAAGACAGAGATAAATCATTTTTTGGCAAGAAATATGCCTATGGAGTATCTCAGCTTGAAGTGAATTTGAGCTTGCCTACTTAAATAAAAGGACACAATTCTCTTTCCCAAATACAATTCAGCTTTCAGCTTATATGGAATCCTGATACATAGCCAATTTAGAAAAAAACAGTTCATTACAGCAGAGAATTTAGAATATAAAATAGGCAGTGCAACATATGAAACCTTATATATGGGGATGCACAAGAGGCACTACATGAGTCAGGAGGATGTGCAATTAGCATCACTTGGGTCAGGAAGGGTACACAAAAGGCAGAGGAGACAAAGTGAGGGTTGGAAAGGGTATACAGGGATGTGCAAGTGGCCATCACAGTGCCAACATAGAGTATCTGCAGGGCTTGCTTACACCAGCAACTTGTAAGCTTTCCTGCCAGCTTCCCCGCTGACTTTCTGGGGAAGCAGGTGGGGAAGCTTGTGAATAGTGATCCCACAATTGGGAGGTGCTTTACCACCAGTCATAAGTGAACAGATTGCAAACACCCAGATCATGCTCATGTATTGTGGAGCTGCTGGGATGGCCAAAACTGTAAGAACTGGTCACAACCACCATTCATTCAGCACCAGCATAACTTCAAATAGTCACTGAACAAATAGTCATAGATCAAGGGCTACTTGTAGTGTTCAAAACTTTCAACTGGTACAGAACGTGGCAATTCAGATACTAACATGATCCTACTGCACCAATGTTATATTACAGAATGTTTCTAAACTCAATTCAAACTGTTGCTTTTAACTTTTGGATCTGATACATTTTTAATGGATTACTTTCTTGACCACAATGGACTAACAAAATGGATTTGCACCTGAGGCAAAGACTGTAGAGGATTATGAAGATAGCTTTGAATAAGGTGGACAGCAGCCATTACCAAATCCTCAGTTCAGCTGGCAAATAAAGAGACTAAGGAAGAAACTCAAGACTGCCCCACTTTCATTTTCCTTGACATAAATCGGGGGGAAGGGGGACTCTTTCAGGGTTTCAAGATCCTGTTATTATATTGTAATATTAAATATTAATATTAGAGTTCCAGATGGCTTCTATTTCCTAACCTGGCCTCAAAGGATTGAGAAGGACTATCCCTTACCAGTCAAGATTTGACAGCTAGAGATATAGGGTAGTATTTGCTCCCCCTCCACCAAGTCCAAGTGCTAGATCAGGATACAGTGTGTTTTTTATTTTTAAAATAACTGATTATTGAGTAGAGTTTTTTTATGAATTTGATATCCTCTCAAAATAGGTATTGTCAGAAATACACCAGTTGGTAAATCCATTCCATTGATGTTTGTTCTTGTACTGCTTCCATTTAAATGTCCTGATCAGTATTTTATTTGTAACTGCAATGTGCATTTCTAATTACATCAATTTTTAAATTACCAATTTGTTGCTAACAAGTATCTTCATTCAGCAAAGAGTATAAAATATTGGAAATAGTTCCTCAGACTCCAGCTAAAGTTAAAAATATCATAGTATTTTAATAGAATGTCCTAATCAATCAGATTGCACTGTGTTTATATTCTCTTTTTAACACAATCTCTCAAGAAAACATTTCTTGTGGAACAAATTACAAATATTATTTATTAATGCATCAATTTTTACACACCTTCTGAGAATCTAAAGCAGTCAAAACTGAGAGCAAGCAAAATCTGTATTTCTTACTTGTAATCCTCATTTGCTGCAGTGAAAATGAAAGCTTCCATAGGATTCCAGCAAAGTGTATTTGTTCTCATATCCAAAATGACCTGAGAAAAGTTAAATATTATAAAGTAGGAAAAACTATCAATAAGCATGTACTGTTCATCACAATAAACTATACATTAAAAATAAATTGTATAACAATACAAATGTATGTATAAATATATAATAATTATTACTCTGGGTTAATTGTTCTCTTTCAGCACAACCACCTTATAGAGGGCTACTGTTGCAGAGAAAATAGGCAGGAGCCCTAGAAATACGCCACCTTGAATT